TTAAAAAGTTCACTATAGCTCTATAACGAAGTTGAAGTTCAGGACATAAAATTCGTTATATCAAGGGTTGACTGTAACCTATATTATTGCATTTACTGCGTAACTAATTATGATCAATTATCAACCATTAGTGTTTACAGGAAGATTGATTAATTTGAGAAAGAATTTCAATTTGAGTCTAATATTTTCATTTGAAAGGATATATAAATAGACTTTGACTAAATCTTTTAAAATGAAATAGTTATTAATTTTATCGAATTGCCTTATATCAATGCTATCGTTATAGTCAAAGTGGTTAATGAGCATTAAACAATTTTGCTAAAAAGAAAATACAGTTCTGATATTTGCGTCAGTAATTAAGATTGGGATTTTTGTAATTTTAATAGATTTTTCTGGATAAATTTAGTGATCAGGTTTGTGTAAGTGAAAGAAATATGATATTTTTCATATTAGAATTTGAAGTTTAATTGCTTTTTCTGCATTACCACATGTAATAAATCCTATTCTGATGATTTTCTTTGTTAGATTTAAGAAAAAATTTTTAACAGATGTACTAATGAATGAAAGAAATTCTATATCACAAACATATTACAAGCAGCATTTATTTTTTTTTATTAGATTTGTTGAAAAGAAAAATATCAGTGTTACAGTAGGCAATAAATAGTGTTGTTTCATGTTCTTTTTCAAAATGGATGATATTCTCTTCATTATCTTTATATAACATATTTTCTGATACGTTATGTGATTGATTATTATTGATATTTATATTTACTGGTAGAAGTTGGATTTCTAATACTTTTACACTTATTATTATTAGAAGGGGTTAAATTAATATTCATAATTTCTTCAGTTGTTTCTTTTATATTTAAGGTAAAAGTTGATTGAACTAGTGGTTGTTATTGTTATTCTTGCTCTTATTGATCAAACTGTTATCTTTTTGTAGGTGATGATGAAAGTCTATTATTGATTGATAAACTTAAACAGTTATGATTAGTTATTATTCAACAAATTGTTATTGGTTTTTTATTTTTTGTCATTTTTGTGAAATTGGAAAAAGATTTTTTTTTCACTGTCTGATAGGAATAAAGTTATATTATAAAATTGAAGGTACTAAAAATAAACCCAAAGGATGATCAAAGGAAATCCAAATTTTGGTCAATATTTATATTATTGGATGATTTTGATTATATGTACAAATTTAGCTTAATAATAAAAGTTATCAAAAATTTTGGATTTCCCTCTTTTTTACTGACCACCTTCCATATGAGAGAGAGATTTTTAGGAATATGGGATTCTGAGAATTTTTTAACAAAAATTTAAATCTTATTGCATTTAATCTAATATTATCAAAAATTAAAAAGCAATAAAAATTAAAAAAATTCTTAGAATCCCATTTTTCTAGCAAACCTAAACTACCACTGATAATATTTAGAAGTGTTTTGAACACTTTTTTATAGGAATTTGAAAATTCTTTTTGTAACGTTAAGATTATATAATGCAGTTTTTACATATAAAAATTTTTTTTAAAAATAAAAGGTAGAAATCTTTCAATTCCAACAGTTAAATTTGTATAAAGCAATATCTTTAAAAAATTATAGATTATTTTTACCATTAGAACATTATCTAAAAAAAGTAATTAATTTAGGATTTGCATAAAGTTGATATCTATAAATTTTTTTATCAATCTTCTGTTATAAATTTATTATAAAAAAAAATTTTTTTGTATACTGAGGAGATGAAGTTCTAATAAAACCTTTTATAATCTGATCAGTAAATTTATTATTATAAACCAATTCTTTCTTGAGTCGTCCTAAAAAGTTGTAATAAAATAATAAATAAATATTTAAATTAACGGTCAAAGAATGATGGGTAATATAATATATTACATAATATTTTTCAAGTTTCGAAGTTCTTCTGTGCCAACTATTGGAACGGGTGGTTGCTGTTGTTGCTGCTGCAATTGTTGTTGTTGTTGAGTACCGGTAGAATCTTCTAGTTCAATACTCTTCCTTTTTCCTTTCCCACTCGCACCCGGTTTTTGGGAAAGTTTTCTTTGATATGCAGCCCGAAGGTCATGAAGCTGTTCAATGTCATCTTGACGAATATCTAAACGTGTAGGATTACGACGAAGCATTTTTTATTTTTATTTTTATTTTTTATAACAGCACTGTTTATATATATGGCTAAACAACACGTGACAGATTTCTAAATATATTTTTTGGTTTTTTTGGTTTTTTTTTTTGATATGCGCTCTAAATTTATAATGAAAATACAAATAATACCAATAATCTCGAGTATAATTTTATTTTGCGCGCACGTTGAAGTTGACGGCTGGGGTGATCGAGTTCTTCTAGAAAATGTTCGTGCTTTAACTCTGCATAAAGGAAAATACACAACCGGAAGAAGAATAAAGCCTATCAAGCAGATAACATGCATTGGTGGAGACGCAAGCTGTAGTTATGAACCTGGTATTTTAACTTTTTAATATTTCAAAGTTTAATTTGAATACTTTATTAAAAGGGTTATTTTGTTTTGTAGACGTTATTCAATGCAGAAACGTAGGATCAGACGGATCAAGTGAGTATTATGTCCAATTAAAAAAGATTTCCATTAGTTTATTTCTAATGAATTCTTCTTGATTAAAAAGATCCTAATTGGAAATGTGAAGCAACCTTACCTAAATCATTAAAGTTTGGACGTGTATGTACATTGTGAATTGATTTAATTATAATATTTTATTTCATAATATAAATTCGTTTTTTTTTTAAAAAAAAAAAAAGTTAAAGGTTACATGCGAAGGTGATTGTTTTAACAATATATGTGTTTTATGTAAATTCTTTCTGTTACGTACTTAATAACGATATATATATATTATATATGATTTATAAAGGATATGATTATCCAGGGGATCTCTACGTTCTGAAAGGTAAGTTCTATATTCTATATCTATATGCATACATACATATATGATTATCTGATTTTTAAAATATTCTGTATAGGATCTTGTGGTCTCGAATATACTTTATATTTCACCAATGTTCGAAATGAAAAACATTTGTTTAATGAATATTTTGATTCAAATTACGATATAACCGATCTAAACAGTTGTAAGTCGACTTGTTTCATCTAACTCCATAAAAAGAAAAAAAATTATTTAAAGTTTTTTTTTTTTTTTAACGAAATTTATTTAAAGCGTCGACTTCATTTAGCGCATTATTTGGAATCATTTGGCTTGGCATGCTTGGATACATTTTATATAATATGTATTTAGCATTTATGAGGACACGAAGAGCGGATAATAGGTAAATCAGTACCGCAGATTTGATTGAATTAAAAATAACTTGTAAATTAAAAGATATGTTTATGTAGGCCCATCAACTTACCGAATCCTCCGGAAAATAGAGCGGATGATGAAAGACCAAATCTTCCTAATCCTGGGTTTTGGTCAGGGATTATAGGCGGTGGTTTTTTAGGTTACTTATTTGGTAGTAGAAACAATAATAATAATGATAATGATAATGATTATAACAGAACGTGGAGGAGTAGGAGGAGGAGGAGTTTTATACGAGAACCTCCAAGTTATCGTAGAAGTACTTCGTATTTCGCTCATGATGATAATTATAATAATTGTCATCGTTATAGAGATCATTCCTCACATACTACTTCATCAAGTAATAATGATGATAATTACACCGCCTATGGCTTTGCTGACACTGATGTAAGATAATTAATCATAATAGAAGTAACAATTATTACGTCATAATAAATTATTGTAGAATATATTATTTTTTTTTTTTCATTTGTATCATATATTGAAAATAAAACGTATTTTATATTTATAGGTACATTTTATTTATTGTTTTACATCAATAAAACTTAAAAGAGTAATTAAATTTATAATATTCTTTAATTCTTCTCTAAATAGCCAAATATTAAAAAAAAAATTCTAATGTACAATAATAAAAGAATGTTTCGAACAGTGGATGAGAATTAAAGAAATTAGTGTTTAGTTTAAAAAGAAGAGAAAAGTTTTTTTTACTTTTTTACTTTTTTTTTTTTTAAAAAAAAAAAAAAGGAAAAATAATAATATATAATATCGTACAGTAAATACTAGTAAATAAAAATTTTATCTAAAAATTAAGACGGTGACCTTATGCACCTATAATTGTATATTTTTTAAAATAGGAATAAAAAAAAAAAATAATAAAGAGATCAGAATAAGCCAAGAAATTTAAAGAGAAGAAAAGGATTGATTAATATTTATAATAAAAAGTTTTTCTATGAAAAAAAAATATATATATATTATTCCCCTTTTTCCAATAACCCACCCCTTACTAAGCCTTTCTTTCCTCAGCGACTATATCTATATTATATTAAAAATCACAAAGTTACAGTTTTCATTCCATTGGTACCTGCTAATTTGTCCAATTTTTTAATATCCTTGTTTTTCTTTTTCTTTTCTTCCTTCTTTTCTTTTTTACTCGGCGAATTATCCTCAAATAAAGATTCCAAGTTTGATATATTCTTTTTTTCATCCTTGTCTTTATCTTTATCTTTATCCTTTTCCTTTGATTTATTATTAGATTTTGAACTTCCAAACCATGATAATTTTTCCTTTTCATGTGAAGATGACTTTTCATGTGTATTTTCATCATTGTCCTTTGAATCCTGATCAGTATTTGATTTACGTTTATCTGAACTATTATTTTTTCTTAATATCCAACGTTCAGAGAATGATGGTTCCCTTACAGGAGCTTGACGATGCTCTCGCTTAAGTTCTTCATTGTTCGCGGGGACATTATTATTACTATTATCATTAATGTTATTTGTTGTACTCGGTGTAAGTTGTATATCTATAGGGTGCGATTCAGCAGCGGCCCCTTCTGCCGATACTTCAAAATCCGAAGATGAACTAGAGGCCACATTATTTGCCCAAACAGAATATGGTAATCCAAGAGAACTTAAATCTAAATCACAGGCCTGGTAAAATAACACATAGCCTGATCCTGTTGCTGGTAAATCTCCAAAGTATTTATGAATTTCACTTTCATCTACCGTCTAAATACAGTAAAATGTACAAGTAAAATTAATTAAATTAATTTAAAATAATCTAACAACAGAGAAGCTCATTTAATATTATACCTCTACATTCTCGTCGTCAAACAAGAGCCACTGTCCAATACTTTTTACTAGAGTCACATAATGACCATGATATGGACCACTTTAAAGAAAGTTTTTTGTTAATGCATTTTTTTAAAATATATATATATCTCTCTTTTAATAATCTTCTCACCTTCCAATGTGAACACAAATTGCATAAAGTTCATAAAGACGATCGGGATCTTTAATTTCCTCACACTTATGTCAAAAGCAAAAAAAAAAAATGATTAACTAAAATATTTTTGGCGTAATAATCATTAGTAATTTATTCATATATACCGTGTTGAATAAGCGCAGTTCAAAAGGGAACACTACTCTATATGATAATTTAATATATTTCTGTAACTTTTCTTGATATTTAAAGCGCTTTAAATGTAACGCTAATACATTGGGCAGCTTTTTAATTTTCATACTATCAAAAGGATTCAATATAAATAAATTTGTAACATTAAATAATTCAAAAATATCAATGTACCTACCTCTTTTCAGCTTCTTGTAACCCACAACATACATCGCAAAAAAATTTATTCTGGTGAACTAACATCTCACTTGCAGAAAATGATCTCAAACATGATGTAACAGAAGAATTTTGTTCAATATCAATGGAAAGGTCCAGAAAAGGATCATCTCTACTTGTGATCTTAATATAAGAACAATAATTGAGAAATGATTCAAACCATAAATACTAACAAATACTGGAAATTTTAGTTTAACTCACGGTTTCACAAGTCAGGCATTTGGTTTCATTCGTTAGTGTACCCTCAAATAGTTGATGTACCCAAGTTGTCTTTGAAGAGAATGTATTGGAAGTATTTTCTGAACTCCCGGAAGAACTTCCATCGGCTTTGATATAATAAAGACAATTTAGAGAAAGTTATACTTTAATATCACTATAAAACATCGTCTATAAAGTTACCTGAAATACCACTCTCTTCACTTTCATTTATACTTGCACCATTTACTGACGATTTTGACTTTTCACTAATGTTACAATGTTGCTCTTGTTCTTGTCTCTCTAATTCTTCTATTTTCTTTTGTTGATCCATTACATTCTCGGCTACAGCATTAAGAATGTAATTTAAAAATTCATGAGCATCCTGATGCATCGTTGAACGAAAAAGTTCTATTACAAAAAATGAAATGAAACTAAAAATTAATAAATAATATAATTGCCGATAAATATAGTGACTTACATGCGAAATAAAGAGAATAAAAATTTACCATTTTCTTTCTTTAGTTTTGATATAAATCCATTCGGTGCCATAACTCCCGTCCTTTTCTTCTGACTACTTATCTTCCAAAATAAATCCTTTAATGCACCAAACAATGTATCTTCACTAAGTACATTTGATGTTGATGGTTCTTCGGCTATAAAAATGTATATTATTTAGTAATGCAAAATTTAATTTCTTTGTTTTATTAAAAAAAAAAAAAAATTATTTGAGAAATATCCTACCTTTATTTTCACCTGTGCCATTTGCATCTTTTTGGGTTGTAAAAGTTCGTAAGTGATGATGTTGATGATTATGAATTAGTATGAAACATGGAAGGTGCTAAACAAACCATTCGGTCCATTAGGGAAGTTGACAACGCATTCTCGGAATGGTTTACAGAAATAAAGTGCCTGCAAAATAGAATTGCAATAGCTATTTGAAAAAAAAAGGTTATAATCAATCAATTAAATGAATTCGAATAATAATCTAAATTGAACTCAATAGCTCACCAAGTATTTCCAAACTTAAAATGTTGATGTTCACGAACAAAAGAAAAGTGTTAATGCTGTTTGATAAAAGTTTTCGTGGATTCTTTAGTTTATAAACTTCTGCCCAACACCATTTATTTTCAAAAACGTTCTTACATTTTCCAAGCCAAAATACTTTTCAGAACCACTAGACCAAGGTTCATTAGTAGCAGGCTTCCTCAAATCACCCTATAAAAGAACCGACGGCGGCGTTAAAGAAAGGAAAGTTGAATTTAACACGAGTAAACTAAACCTTATTTTCTTAGTGACGGAGAGTCGATATTTTTATGAGTTTAAGTAAAGTCGACTTACCATTCCAATCCATTTAAAAAGTGACATTTTTGCTGGTATGTCAATCGACTTATTTCGTCTTTTTTTTGCACAAATATTCAATTATATAACTGAGTAATTTGTAATGATTGGCCACAACAAATAATTTGATCTTCATTATTTGTTAGATTTCGAGCCCCTAAAAAAGCGGCGCCACTTTAGTACTTTTTAAATTTTGCCCACTTTTTGATTAATGTCCCACGTGTTAGTCCGGAGCATAGTGAATGTTACACGAGACGTCCGGCTCAAAAATGCTTTTCGTTACTTTATTTTTTGAGATTTTTTTTTCAACAATAAATTATGAAAAAGTTGATATAAAGATTCATAACTGATTTTTCTCTTAATATCTTTAGTATTAAATTTAAACAGCCTTTATTGAATGCCTAATATTTAAGTTTTTGTTTTTAAATACAATGCGAACTTGCTATTATGAACTTCTTGAAGTAGATCACAAAGTGCCCACAGAAGAGATAAAAAAGGCATACCGTAGGAAAGCTTTAGAATGGCATCCTGATAAAAATTATCATAGAGTTGAAGAAGCTACAGAAAAATTTGCTCTTATTCAGGAAGCTTATGAAGTTTTATCCGATTTTCATGAAAGAGCATGGTATAATTCACTTGATTTACGTTATTGTGATTCAAATGGATAAATTAAATTAGTTATTTAAAATTTACAGGTATGACGGTCATCGAGATGCCATTTTAAGAGAAGGCAAGTTTGAATGTGTTTTGAGTTCGGTTTAAGTAAAAAGTTGGATTGGATATTTATTTATTTATTTATAGATGATGATATTTATGAAGAAAATGACTATTATGATGAAAATAGTGCAAGAGGAAGGTTTAGAACGACTGTTCAGGGAACTAGAGCTGAAGATATAATGAGATTTATCACCGCAGCATGTTATCGTGGATTTGATGACAGTGCAAAAGTATGTTAATAGGATGTCAATTTAACTTATTCAGAAGTTTTCATTAACTTACTTTTGATTATAGGGTTTTTACACAGTGTATAGAACGATATTTCAAAAATTAGCAGATGAAGAAGCGGATGCTTTTGCACATGATCGCGGTGAAGATGCCGATGATTTTTATCCGTATCCATCGTTTGGTGATAGCACAATATCATTTGATTCATTTGACTTGAAAAGTGGGAATCCGGTTAAAAACTTTTATACAGCATGGATGAATTTCTCCACACAAAAAAGTTTTAGATGGTTTGATAAATATCGAATATCAGAGGTAAGTTTAGGTGGCTAATAGACATTCCGATGGGGGGAAGGTATTTAAAGAAGAAATTAAAATGGTAACATCCTTGAAGTAGGCACCAGATCGATTTATTAAGAGAACTATGGAAAAGGAAAATAAAAAATCACGGGACCTCGCTCGCAAAGAATATAATGATACCGTTCTGGTAAGCCTTTGATAATTCATCAAATTATTTTTATTATTTTTTAAAAGATCATCTAACATAATATTTGTCTTTATCAGACTTTGGTTGAATTTGTGAAAAAAAGGGATCCACGATATAAGGCGTTGATCGAAGCTGCAGAATTAAGAAAAGAAGCACAGATTACAGAAGCTAAATTAAAAGGTATACGCGAGCGTGCGGAACGTATTGCTAAATTACAAGATTACCAAGAGCAGGATTGGACAAAGATAGAGGAGGAAGAGGAGGAGGAGGAGGAGGAGGAAGAAGAGGTGCTGAATGATGAATATTTTTGTGTGGCATGTAATAAGAGCTTCAAAAATGAAAATGCATGGAAAAATCATGAAAAGAGTAAGAAGCATGTTAAAAATGTGGAATTATTGAAAGAAGAGATGTATGAAGAGGATGAAGAACTAATAAGTAACGTTGAAACGGATAATTCGGAAAATGAACTAAAATTTGAAAATGTTTCTTCCATATCACAAAACGGTCATCAGAATATAAACCAAGATAAAAGGGATAGCGATGAGGAGGAAGGTAGTGATCCACTCGCTCTCAAGAAAGGATTTAAAAAGAACAAAAAACAAAAGAAGAAACAGAAGACTCCCAATTGGGGTTATGCTGATGAAGAAAAATTAATTTTAACAAAGGAAAAGTCACCCAAAAATGGCGTAACTAAAGATACGGCAAGTGTAGTTGATATGTCCGAATCATTAGAAAAAACAAAAATAAACTCTCGTGGAGGCTTTGAATCAGATGAAGATTCAGGAACAACCCCATATTTTTTAAAAGATGAGGACAATATAGATCAAAACGAGCGTGGTAATTCTAAAAAGGAGAAGGAAAAGAAAAAGAAAAAAGAAACAGTCAATCAGGCAAGTTTCCATTCGTAGATTGAAGTTGAGTCTTATCTTATTCTCGTTATTATATTCGTTATTCACTTATTAATTATCTTAATTTTTATAGATTAAGTGTAACGTATGTTCAGAAACATTTCAAACTAGAAATAAGTTATTTGACCACATCAAAGTGACTAATCACGCTTTGGGAGAATCAGTTAAATCGGGTAAAAAGAAAAAGAAAAATGCAAGGTAATAACGCGTCACGGATCTTAATTTTAAGTTTAGATAATTTGTAATTACTTGTAACACAATTGGGTTAAAATTATGGATAATAATAATTACATGGCATGAAAAAAAAAATCATAAATTATTATTATTTTAATAATTTAATGTTTCATTTGTAAAGAATACCAGATTCATCAGAAAATAAAGAAATAATAGGCTTTTTTTTCTTCGTAATTAATATTACTTAGAGGGTTATTAAATCTTATAACCTTTAAAGATTATTTATAGCTTTCTTGGTTTAAACACGAAGCAAGAATTAATGAACCGCAATTTCATGCCCCATCACAACAACCCTTAACTTAAGGACAGGTCGACCGCGTATATTAACTTTTAACCAGGTTTAAAATAAGGGTGTCAAGAAGTATTAGAAAAGATTGGCAATAATTGTAAAGAGAATAATTTGTAAAAGAACAGTCGCAAAAGAGGAAACAACGAAAGACATATTAAAGAAAAAAGTGTTCGCAACAATAAAAGAGGTCTAATGATTCGATGATGATCAGCAACGAGATTTTAAAAGAAATGATATTAAAACACTGAAAAGATGGTTGGTTTTCGAACACTTTTTTTGTTTCATAAAAAAAGAAATTTCACTTAAGCAAACATTAAAAAATATGTAATTTGTTTTATTAACACGCGTAATAAGTACAAATATATCAAAACATGTACAATATGTGAAAAATATTGTTTTTTAAGATTCCAATAAAAAAATCAAAATAAAAATAAAGGTAATACAAAAATATGTCGTATCATACAAAAAGTGAATTTACACCGTTATTTACTTTTGCAATAAAGTATTGAATTAAATATCTTTTTTACTAATGTGTTCCTGATATTGACGAAAACCGGAGCGCGAAGTTGATGATTACTGCCCCTATTTCATTTTTTAAAAGGATTATTTAATGTTCTGAAACAAATTTCAAAGCTTTTATGAACTGTATAAAGAAACAAGATAATTACCGACGAGGAAAATACAAAGAACGGTCGGCCCGTATCTATCATCATAAGGTCCATCTTCTCTCTTTCTTATCTTTGACGCTCTCCAATGATATACTAAGAGAGCATATATCATTATAGACATGGCTAAAGAATTCAATTATGATTATGATGGTTCAATAAAAGATTTCCTTTGAGAATAATCGAACATCTGGTTGATCAAAATTTCCCAATAACGTACCAACAAAGGTGAACGCAGCAGCTGAGATTTTCCCAACTCTGTCTCCAAAGTTGAGAAGTCCAATTGCAAGACCACCTAAAACAACTGTAAATTGTAACCATGAAAGAAAGGTCCTTTCGTTGGCAAAGAACACCTATTTTTTTACGTAACGAGAGATTTTTAATAAAGCATTTTAAAAAAATTGTATCATTCGATAAAAGTTTGATATATACTTTAGGTTCAACCCGAGTGGGAAGAGCTATACGTCTTTGAATAAGTGGTTGAGTAGACATAATAATTATAATTTTTTTTTTCTTTTTTTTTTTTTGCGAATTATCCGATATATATAAAGAGTTCTAATCTTTATATAATTTAACTTGTAATATTTTAGATTATTTAGCCAATTCAGCCCTTTATTTCAGCCCATACCGATTAGGATTGCATTATTAATTTTTTCTCCAATTGTTTAAACGCAACATCACGTGTCGTCCATTACTATTTTCCGCTCTTACGAGTATGGCAGCAAAAAAAAATCGAGGTTTAAGATTTTACACAAAATGCCTAAATTGATTATAGTAATGTGATTGTGCAACAGCTTGACAGCTTTGAACAAAGGATTGTAAAAAACTAAATGTAAAAGAATTTAAAATTCAAAAATTTCAAATTAATGATCCTCATTTTATTTGATTTATATAACAAATTTCATAATATTCATTTTTATACTTGCTGTAAAAATTAAATAAATATATTTAAGTTTAAATTTTTATTTTTTTAAGGATGAATCTTCGGGAATTGGGAATTGGGGTAGAATTCACGACTGAATATACGATTCCATTTTTGACGTCTCGCAAATAATCTTGAACACTTATATATATATATAATATATAACAAGCACATTAAAAAATGCAGATCAAGATAAATCACATGAATCCGAGCCACAAAAGGAATATCAAAAAGCCACTAATAGAAGATATCAAAAAAATTTTCCGGTAATTTTCAAAACCCATCGTAGTGATTTTCCGATAAATACAAATTCCTATTATAGTTAGTTCCTGGATTAATATCTGATTTCATTAAGTTAAACTTTGTTAATTAACGATCTTTAAAAGTTAAAAAGAAAAGGATAATTCCTTATTTTTTCACATCATCAACTTTATTATTAGAAACAACTTTGGAAGTGATAGCTTTAATATCTTTAAACTTCTTTTTCTTTTCACTTTTAGTTTGTTTAGGTAATCCAAATTTATCAAGAAGGGTTTTATCATAAATTTTAGTAATATTTTCTTTATAGGGATGTTCTTCATAAGGAAAAATATGCAACCTATTTAATCGAACATCTCTTAATTTGTTTTTTGGTAACATTCCTGAAACTGCTTTCCTAACAATCTATACGGAACATTATGTTGTGTTAAATTTGATTTCCAAAAGATTTTTTATTTTATTTAAATAAAAAACCATACCTCTTCCGGATTTTTTTCTAATAAATCTTTAAATACAATCTCTTTTAAACCTCCAGGATGTCCAGTATGATGTCTATATAACTTTTGTTCAGCTTTTCGACCGGTCACCATCACTTCTTTTGCATTAATAACTACAACATAGTCTCCACAGTCAGCTATTTCAAAACGAATAATTTTGGTCAAAAAAAGAAAAGATAATTCATTGCATAGAAAAAAATTGATATATATATATATATATATATATATTATATTTTGATGATTTACATGCAGGATCAAAAATGGGCTTGTGCTTTCCCATTAAAGTCGTTGCAATACCGGTAGCCATACGACCTAATATTCTCTGTTTTGCATCAACTAGATGCCATACTCTAGCGTAAGCTAACGCTGTCTGTAAAAAATAAAAGTATACAATAGATGTAAAATAAGAATTAAATAAAAAATATATATATATTAAATATAATAACAAGAATACGATACGTTGCCGATGGCTTGAGACATGGATTTAATAATAAGAAATTGAAGAGAAAGCTGTATTTTTTTTTTGTATAACCATCTCGGATAAAAATATGGTTTAACATTTAATATGGTTTAAGCATTTGACGATCATTATGAAAAACCGGTTTTAGTTTAAAAGTATGATTGTTCAACATATTTACATGTATTATAGAAATACGATTGTATTTTATTTATAAAAATGATTCGAACTGTTATTTATACAAATGAAAAATAAAGTTTGACTATAAATAGGTCTGAATAAATTATTAATTAATGATTTTTCCCCAAGTAGTCGCCGGTTTGTCTACAGTATTCTCGATTTTGGCACTTTGCACATAACTCTCTCTTATGAGGTTTTACGCTGCCTGAAGTTTGTAAAGGCTCATAATGCAAGATGAAGCTATCATCGTTTTCGCCTGCTTTGCATTTTTTACAATTTTGCATATAATATTCATCCTTACATAATCGCGGTCCTGGAATTTTCTCAATAAATTTTCGGAATGATATCCAAATATAAGCGCTTCTCCATTTTTTCCAGCAATTTGGACACTTAAATTCGCCATATACCCGGTAATGATCATTCCATAACAAGTGACAGATGATCTCGAGGTCGGGTCCGTCATTTAAATATATTGGTCGTATATATTTGCGGAAGCTTGTAATCAGATGTTCTTTTTTACAGGCATTACAATTCTTATTGAAAATATCATAGATACCTTTAGGGGTGTTCTTTAAGCACTTTTGAAGGTGATCCAACGAAAGCTTTTCCTCAGATTCAGGATCGTCATTTTCACGTATTTCGCACTGCCAAAAACCATAAATTTCGCCTTTGTTATTATCTCTTAGTATTGAGACTAAATGATGTAGGATTTTTAAAATATCTCGTCCTTTCTTTTCTTGTTTCTCTTTAGTTGTCATCGATTCATATCTTTTATACGAGGATCGATAGAGAGGAAAAATTGTTCCTTCTGACATCAAGGAAGTTGTCCTCTGGGCGAAGGTATTGTATGGTTGAAGAAAAGGAGTTGTTTCTTCCTTCTTTTCAGATTGGGCCACAGTGTTGTACGGTTGGATAAAAGGAATAGTTTCTTTCTTCTTTCCAGTTTGGGCTACAACATTGTATGGTTGGAGAAAAGGTGCAGTTTCTTCCTTCTTTTCCAAAGTTGTTCTTTTTTCAGATTGAGGGAGAGAAGGAAAACTTTCTTTGACAAAAACTATTTTACATTGGCTTCCTGATCCATTGTAAGTTGTTTCCTTTTGGATTTTTCCTGCAGATAATGCATCTCCGAAGGTGTACTGACGACGGGTAAGATAAAATTTTTTTTCTTCCTCCTCCTCCTTCTCAAAATTCATCTGATTGAATCGAGTTGTTATTTCATCAAGAGAGTTCTGATGATGATTTAACCAAGAGGTGTTGTCCTCTTTTTCATTCTCCCAGGAAGATTTCTTTTCTGGACTCTACTGAAGATAATTTTTGTCCCATATTCAAAGAATGGTTTATAGAAGATGCAGTCGTTCCTTGAGGATTTGTTGTGAATGATGCTTTTCTTGTGTTGTATGAATCGTAATAAGGAGATGTTGCTTTATTCCTTCTCTCTAAAAATGTTGTCATATTTTCATCATCTTTAACTTCTTTCAATATTGAGGAAACTGTTTGACCCATATTGTTGGTAAAGAGATATGTGAACTTTTTCCCAAGGGAAAGCAAATATTTGTATAGATTGGTATGCTCGTCTGACTGTGAGCTTAATTAATTGGGATATGATCAACAAAAAACACAAAACAAATACGCAAATTTTTGTAATCCGGCTAATTTTATTATATAATTTTGGTAATAGATTTATCACCCGACGTATTGTATCTTTTTAAATTAAGATTTAATTGATAAGAACGAATTGCCTTTGGAGGTTAAGGATCTTACATATATGAAAATTAATTTCTCTCTCTACAATCATTCCAGAAAAGTTTATCCCACATTATGTCAGACTATGTGCAACTTAAATTTGAAAACAGGACGCCCAATTTTTTTGCTTAAAATCACGTGATCTTCATCATATGGGAGCTGAGCTATAATGAGAATAGTAAATTGATTTTGTGATCAAAAAAATGTTACATCTCAATAAACATAACTAGCCAATAAAAAATTGAAGGTGATACAAAAGGTGATACTAAAAAAAAGCTCTCTTCGCTACAATGCTATAAAATAAGAGAGAACAAAAAGACTAAGCAAAGAAGACACTTTGCATCGCCTTTTAAAACCAACAAAAAACCTAACACCAATTAAACTAGGGACATTCCATCAGACCAAAGCACTTCTGAGACTACAGAGTCAGTTGTGTCAATGGAAGTCGACCCACCGCCATCAAATAAAGGCAAAGAAAAAGATACTTCAGAAATCACTTCAAAAACAACTAAAGCTCTTCTTGACATTAACACAAGTATTGACACATCAGAGAACTTTTTAGATAAAAATATAACTTGGGTTTAAGCTTTTGACCAACTAAAACCTTTTTTTCCTCTCGAGAAATTTCCTGGAATCTTGTTGTAGCAAAAAGTTTCATTTGTTATTGACTTACTCTTCGACAAATATGATTCGTTCACAGGAGCGATTCTTGCTAAACATCCAATAAACCAATTACAACATATCATCAAAATTTTCTTTCGTAACAAAGAAGAACGAGATCACACATGCTCAGTTCAATTACCAAAATTGGAAAATCGCATATTTTTACCCTTGACATTATACTAACACATCCTTTTATTCCTGCACAATCGATCAAAGTTACTGAAATTCCCTTGACATTATTGATCATAAAATCAAAACAATCTTTACCAAATTTGAAAAAATTGTCCATTCAATATGAAAACAAAGAATATGTGGCAATAGGCTACCATCACTTTTGCAGATAATGCTAATTTTAAAGAATTAAAAGAATATTACAGCGTTTTTATTCTCAATAATATGGTCTGAGTCTATATGTGTAACTCAACACGTGCAGATATTCTTGAGTAATCTAAATATTCTGCAAAACTTGCTAAACTTCTATGCTTTATTACTAAGAAACAGATTGTTGAAATTGAAAAAATAGTCAACGCGTTTGCTTGAATTATTCCTAAAGTCTATTCAAATTATAAGAACCTCTAGCATGTATTTTCTACTTTGTCTCAATGGATAATTGTGAGATAGTACTTAGTAACAAAAACTTAACTATTAATGATAAATACATAATCTGAACTAGTTTAAAAGCAAAACTTTGTGTAATTTATTCAACTTCAAACCATAAAGCCAATGATTGTCCAAAATGTAAAAGAAATCCTACTGACCATAATATGCGAAATCTCTATTAACACTTTCAACCTGTAAAATATTCTAAAACTTCTAAAGAGTATAGTAAATCCAAATATCATCTTTACTGATATTATATAAGATCAGTCAAATATTAAGTTGAATCAACAATCATCTTCAACTTTGAAATCATAAAATGATAGCATAATAAGAAAACTTTTATAATAAATATCAAATAGACGCAACCCCTAGTCTGGATCTTGATCAAATGATATCTTTCTGAATATGAATGATAAAATCCTATTTGACAACATTATCTGCCCTATACCTAATAGATATCTTTTCAAAGAAATAAAAGAAAATAGCTCTATGCATGATAATATTAATAAGAATTTTAAAGCCTTTATCAAATCCCAATTCAATAACTTTGAAAAAATATAAACATCTTAGTAAGTACTTTGGCATTCACTGTTAAACGTGAAACTTTAAAGTTATTGTCTCTATAAAAGCTAATGCTCATAATCTTAATGCTGGGAAAATAAAAGATGAAGTTAAACCAATTATTAACTTCTTCTCATCTACCATTATCCAACAACAAAAAACTATCAAGAGGTTAAAAAATATTAATGAAATATACCAAAACTACCTCTGTTCAATGATCAATATTCTTGTCTAATTATGTTTGCTTTTTAAAGTATTCTTTTAAAAAATGGTTTATTTTCTCAAGAACATGCCTCTAACATTTTTCCTTTTAGTATAATATTCAATACTAATATTAAATATTATATTAAAGAACTTTCACAATATTAATTTTATAAATAATATTTCTATAGATTCTTATGCATAAACTGCATCAAATAATTTTTCTAACTCAATTAATATTATATTTCTTCTTTTTTAATTTCTGTAACCTCTTATAATATTTGAGGTTTTACAAATATTGCAAAATAATACACTCTAAAATACTATCTCTCACTTCAACTAGATATTATCAGCTTACAAGAAACCAACTTCTATTAAAATTATACTAAACCTTTCATTCAAGAATATATTTTAAATTAGATTTTTAGCTTTCAACCACTATTGTAATATACTGTAAAGGATTTTGTATAATACCTGGAGTATTTTACATTCTACTAAATATTGTGGAATATTATATTAAGAGGATACTGTGATCAAAGGAGGATACTATATATAGCGTATACCTGTAAAAATAAATGATTAATCATTAATTAATTTTCTTTTGTCAAAAAATTTTTTTCAAATTTATGAAATTTGTCAAAAATATTTTTTTATAAAGAAACTTTTTTTGCCCTTTATGTTTAATTTTTTTCAATTTATATTTAAAAACATAGTAATAATTGGAAATAAACATAAAAAAACACAAGCTATAAAAAAGCTTTAGAGCTAATGATACATATATACATGAAGTCGAAATGAAAACCCAAAAGTCGAAATGTTTCGACTTTGGAGGTCAAAGTCGAAATGAAAAGTC